TTCAAATATCAGACATACTAAATGGAACACTCATCGAGCACTGTATAAAACTAAAAAACACAGGGAAGAAGTATACTAAATAACAGAACTCAGAAAATGAATACTATTATGTATCCAATGTTAGGGAAGTTGTTGAAATGTCCCCTTATTAGAATTTACAATATTAATGGATTTTACGTACAACATTGAAATGCAGCTGTTTCTGAGTTGGAGAGCTGCAATTTATATATGCACAATAGATGTATAATCTTACTTTGCTCTTGACAAGAAAACTGTTTAAACTTTTATGTTTTTGTTTGAAAGATCTGAATCCACACTTTGATCTCCAACTTGCGACACAGTAACACATACTTCAATATCATGGTTCCTGAAGCTTCTACCTTTGAAGAGTTGTCACTAACTTCACAGGCTATTGCTGCCTGTTCTGATTTGGCTACTCTTCCTGTAGAATCTCTTTTCATGAAAAGCATCATTTATTGATTAATTTTGGATTCTGTAACTGATTCTTTAGTTCACCCATGAAAAAGGGGATGGTGATTGGGAACCCAAGACATTCCCATGTATCTGACATCAAAGTTAGTTTTGCATAAGAAACCAGATGCTTTGGTCTTATTGCTTACAACTCTATGGAGCCAAGAACATTCACTCCGAGAAACTGGTTTTCCCCTTCATGATGTAGAAAGTTTGATTTCTCAAGCACAGTAGGTAGAAAATATTTTACACTTATCTAAAACCAATACAATACTATGTACAAGAATATCTGAAAAACATACCTTTAAGAAAGGTAACATTTTTCTATGAAGGAAACCTGAAACTGAAAATTCTCTAAAAACTTTCATCTGTAGTATCATTTAGTTTCACTTAGCTGAAAATGTAAGTAACCCATTTTTGGTTCTCCTGTGATGGAAAAAGCTGTATTAAATAGATTTTAATTAAATGGTCAAATCTATTTCCCAAGTACTTATGCTGTTTAACAATGCCATGATCCTGCAAAAACTCATGCACATACTTAATTTTACAGCTACAAGGCAAGTATAAGTGTTTGCATAATATGGGCCTTAGTTTTGATAATCAGCACTCTAGTGTACATAAAATTAAAAGTCAAATTTGATTTTAATAATTCCATCACCCTCCAGACATATAACACAATTCCCAGAGCATCTTCCTTTTTTAAACTTCATTCACAATACACTATTAAAAGTTTCTAACCTATGTACTACGTTCCTATTTTTTCTTTCAAAGTCAAAGAAAACTTCTCTCCTTACTCATTTGTTTCAAAATAACTTTTGAGTGAATAAACATGTTAAATAGGTTTCTTATCTATATCTGTATAACTTTGTTATGTAATATGAATTTATATACATGTATAAATTGTAAATGATGATGACACTATTTCTAGGTGCTCCATATTCTCTCTGGTTGGTAGGGAGACTGTCATAAATGCTGTGACCATGACAATACAGTTGTTCCCTTTAGTTTTAACATCACTCGAAAAATTGAGATGAATTAAAAAAAAAACCACATTCAGCATATGTTTTTTTTAAATCAAGAAGATTAAGAAATTCCCAGCATTTTTCCACAGAATTCCAGGGTTACAAAAAACAAAACAAAAACACCCCTCCTGTATTTTTCCAGGATCAGCAAATGCTCTATTTATTCATCACATAGCCATGAAGATCAACTATTGTATTTTAAATCAAATACAACAGTGTTTCCAATTTTTAAAAATTAAATGGTTATATAGATTTAACATTGTAGTCCTTTCCCATAACAGGCAGTGGCTGTATTTTCCATAAAAAGCGACAAAGAGTCCTGTGTCACCTTATAGACTAACAGACGTATTGGAGCATAAGCTTTCGTAGGTGAATGTCTGACAAAGTGGGTATTCACCCACAAAAGCTTATGTTCTAATACATCTGTTAGTCTATAAGGTGCCACAGGACTCTTTGTCGCTTTTTACAGATCCAGACTATCACGGCTACCCCTCTGATACTTATATTTTCCATATGAACCTTAGCTGTGAACATGTTTAAAAGGCACTTTGAAATTCAACAGACATAATCCAGGATCTTTGATAAATCTGGACTGGCTGTCATTTGTACAACTGATATAAATTGAAACACAGACATCACTGTTCCACTGTGGCTTATTATCTTTTGAAAACAACATTGACTGTGTTTTGTCGTCAAGCAAGACAGTTAAAAAAGGCAGCTTGTTAAAATGCACAAAAGAAACTTTAGAAGGTTTTAAATTATGTAACTATACTACATTTTATCTGAGTGAGTATAAGAATCCTAAGCATTTATATTTACATTGGTGAAAAATAAATTAGACTATTAAAATTAAATCACTTTTAAAAATCTAAATTGTCATTAGTAACAGTTAAAATACAGTTTTCACATGAGTTTTATACTGAGATTGCTATTGATTTGTCATTCTTCATTTTTCACACTCTGGAAGATGCCAAGTAAACACACATTAGTTCAGATACTCAGTTGATGTATATCAGCACAAGTCTACTGAAGCCAATGGAGTTATTTGATTTACATCAGCTGAGATCTGGCTTGTTACTTTTCTGGTTTGGTTTATAAGAACAATCCAATTCCTTTTGATGCCTTCCATGTTATTATGATCTTAGTCTAGTTTTTATAATACTGGCTGCAAAGAAAAATGACATAAATTTCCATGAGCTCTGAGAAGAAATTATTGTTTTATCTTACCAGATTATACTTTAAAATGAGCTTCCAGATAATAACTGACGTTTTCTGAAATCATTTATTTAGAATTTACAGAATTACTATTAAATCAATAGTAATGGGAGATACAGTCTTGTTGTAGCATGTTGGTCCAGGATATTACAGAGACAAGGTGAGTAAGGTAATCTCTTTTGGACCAATTTCTGTTGGTGAGAGAGAGAAGCTTTTGAGCCTACTCTTTGGGCTTTTCTTCAGGTCTGGGAAACTTACTTAACTGTGACACTCTGAGTAAGTTTCCCAGACCTGCAGAAGTGCTCTGTGTAAGCTCAAAAGCTTGTCTCCATCACCAACAGCAGGTGGTCCAATAAACGATATTACCTCACCCACTTTGTTTCTCTGGGAATTGAATACTTTATTGAAGTTATTTTTTTAAAGCCAATGGAGTCTAAGGTGTCAAGGAAAATTAGTTTTTCCCATTTGACTTCAACCATTTGTAGTACATTAGGGTCTCGAAATGTGTTAAATTAATTTTCATATTGTAATATAAGGTAATTTGTTTAACAAGTTTAATAAATTTAATTAAGTTTAATAAACCCATTAGGACTTTTGAAGACAGTTTTCAATAGCTTTACAATCCAAAATACAGTGGACCACCAATGCTATTTTAGGACACTAAGGTGAATATGCAATGTATTAAATACGTGCCTTCCCTTGACAAAATCTTAGGGACAATATGTATATTTCCCTTAGAAACAAGTGCAATGAACCAGACATCTGCAGAAGAAATCATACAGCTGATATTTCACAATAGCTGTTTCTAAGGCACCAGATCCTTGCAGTAAATCACCACAAGTATTCTTTGGATACTTTATTTTAAAACAAGTTTACTGTATATACTCGTTCAATATTTTAAAACAAGTTTACTGTATATACTCGTTCATAAGCCAAATATTTTTGGTAAAAAAGTGACGCATCAAAGAGCGGGGGTTGGCTTATAAACGGGTCTACACCAAAATTTGATGATTTTAAACTCTATGAATCATTACATTGAATATCTAATACATTGTTGTTTTGTTTACCTGGAGCCCCTAAGCTCCCTGTGGCCATGGTTCGCCGTTCCCAGCCAATGGGAGCGGCAAACTGCGGCCACAGGGAGCTGAGGGTCTCCGTGCCTGTGAACGCTCCAGGTAAACAAAACGTACTGACCCACCAACGGCTTACCCTGACGGGCCAGGAGCCAAAGTATGCCAACCCCTGAAATATAGGGTTGGCTTATGAAAGGGTCATACAGTTTTTGCTATTTTTACCTAACCATCTTGGGGGGTTGGCTTATAAACGAACGGGCTAATGAACGAGTATATACGGTAATTTAGTAAAAGCAACTATTGACATACATAATCTAAATGAAATTAAAAATACAGATAAATTTATCCAAGATAGACTTATTTGTCCCAAAGATAGATTTCTTATGTTCGTCCCAAAACAGGATTTGTTCTAGTTGCTCTTATGTATGAAAATTATTTGAACATTTGCTTTCGTGGGTAAGAACCTCACTTCTTCAGATGACATCTCCACCTGTGGCAGGGGAATCCCCGTAGCTCCTGGCTGCTGCAGTGGGGGCTCCCGGAGCTGGCGGGGGGAATCCCAGAACTGCAGGCAACCCTCAGCTGCTGCAGGCAGTGTGGGGACCCGCAGATCCCCATTTTGTCACAGGTATTTTCTTTTTTTGCCTGTGACCTGTCCATGACTTTTACTAAAAATATCCATGACAAAATCTTAGCCTTAGTTATGGCCCTTATTTAGCTACTATGAATGCATCACATCAGGGTTTCATTTGGACAGATCTTGAGTTGGGATAGGTCAATCAGTACTTGATGGGGACCTCCAAAGAAATCTCAGCTGCTGCAGGAAAGGGTCAGGCAACTCAGTGTGTGGCATTCGTCCCTCCCAGTCAGTACCAATTCCCGATGCAATTTATAAAGTGGCCTGGGTCCTGCAGAGCACTGAGCTTTCTGTCCCTGAATCACCTGAGCGCTTCCGCGCACACTGCCAAGCCGGGTCCCGCGATGAGGAGGTCGCGGCCCCCAGATGCCGAGGCCCCCGCGCCTACCTGCGATGCATCCCCGGCCACGCAACCACCTCCGCGCGGGCAGCAGCGGCCGCCCCCAGCCGCAGCCATGGCGCCGTCTGGACGCACAGCGCCAACCAGCGCTGGGACGGACCCCGGGGTCCTTCCTCGTCCCCGGCGCAGGCAGGGACTCAGCTCCGGGGAGCCCAGGGTCCCCTCTCAGGCAGGGCCGGATTGTCCTGCAATTGCTGGGGCGGCGCTGCCCGGGGGGAGGCGCGTTTAGGCAGGTGTAGGAGCATAAACCTCCGAGCCCCGCCCGCAATCCGAGTGGCTGAGGCGGCCTCAGGCCAGGGGCCCAGCGGGTGGCGAGACGCTTCCTTCTCCAGCGGCCAACACGCGGGGAGGCGAGAGGAAAGACACGTGCTCAGAGTATCTGTCTGTGCTTAACCCCGGCCCGGACAGCGGGGGCCTGACCTAGGGGAGACCTGGGCGATGCGGAGACAGCTGGCACCGGGACACGAAGGAAGGCGGTGGCAGAAGGAGCCCCATATTGTGCATCCCGATTGGTGGACACGGGCCCCGGTCTATCCTATCCAGCCGTCGTCTCTCATCTTAGACCCAGGTCCTGAGCTCTCTTGGGCAGGGCCCTCTTCGGACCTCGCTTAGTGCGATGGGCCAAGCCGCAAAGTACCAAGCACTGTTGCCAACGCTATGACTGTACCGTGGATTTCGCTTTAAATCCGCAGCTTCTGCAGTTAGGTGGCTGTTAGGTGTGAATCTCGCTTGTCATTAAAAATAATGATTTTGTCACGGAGGAGGAGAGCTTGAAAATGTGATCCAAGTGAACCCTAACGGCTCATAACCGAGATAGCCAACAAACCCCAAATGTATTATTTAAAAAAATCATGCTTTTTAAGTTTATCACGTTATTTGGGGTCTCTGATGATTTTTGAACGCTCAGGTTTGGCAATACCTGAAACGAAGGATATTCTGGGGAAATCAAATCCTAAACACCACCTGAAGCTCTGCCCTAGGCAGATGCTCGATACAAATGAATCTCTGACCCTTGTACTTCAGCAACACTCATCTAGTTTTGAATTGAAGTGTGTGTCTTTTGGCTTGTGCAGGGAGGTAGCTAGTCCTGCTCCATCTGTATGCGGGGAGGGAGGAGTAGTGGGTTCCCCCATAAGGGAGCACACATTAGCCGTGGCTGCAAGGGGGTGTTTATTTGTGTTGAGACAATTAGGGGTGGGACAGCAGTTGGGTGTGCCGGGCGGGGCTATCTTTTCTCTCAGGCAGTGAGTTGGACAGCCCTAGCCTTGGGTGGGAGGAGAGCAAGATGGCAGCCTCCTTGTGGCTGAGCTGCAGTAGCAAAGGGATGGTCAAACTACTGGGTGGGAGACTAGTCGCGGGGGCTTGTGCTTCTCTCCGCCTTGGAGGAGGCTGGAGGCTTCTGCACAGGAGCCATGAGCTGCTGGGTGAGTATTTGGCCTCAGTCACTAGCAGGCGGTTTTTAGTTGGCCGCCTGTGACACTGTTAGAACTGCTGCAGCTGTGTGGGGGCCAGCAATGACTTTCAGGGGCAAGGAAAGTGGATGGTAATGACAGAGGCCAGGTGTCTGCGAGGAGTTTGTGGTTAGGGGTGTATCTCTGCAAGCAGGGTATGAGGGTGAGTAGGTGACCTGGACAGAGGAGAGGGTCCATGGGGGTACCTGCTGGAGTGAGTGGGCAGTAATGTTGGGGTGTGGAGGTTTGGCGGGGGGAGAAGCAGAGTGGACTTTATGATTAGCCAGTGGAAGAGAATGAAGGGGGTGGATAACGATGCTCTGGCCAGTGAAAATAGGATGAGGGATGCAAGGCGCGGGGAGAAAGGAAGATGGTGGTATGGCATCAGATTTGGTGTCTAGAGGATAAAGCATATGGCAAACTGGTTTAGACTATTTTCTAATGATAGTTGTGGCTGTTTTTGAGTTGAGTGGCTAAAGAATACTGAGAACTGTACTTTCTCAAAGCCCTCTAACTCCCAAATTCCTTCTGTGATTTACCTCCATCCATTTTTCTGCTCCTGGCTCCTTATAAAAAAAATATTTAGTGTGAGATTAAGTCTGAAAATCTGTAAAACAAAAGAAAGCATTCTGTGCAAGTTGGAGGGTCAAATGTAGAACTTAAAATGGGAGCGACCTTTCATTCTGAAGGGAGGATTCCTGACTCCAGAATTTGCTCTCTGTCTCTCTGAGCCAGAGTTTGGTCTGCAGCTAAAATGAACATCTTTTAAACCTGGTAGTAATTATTGGTGTTTCAGCCGGGGGAACATTTGTAGCAGTACTGCAGGAGGAGGAGTCTGTAGATTAGAGATGACATATTGATTGAAATATTTTGAATGAAATTTTTCATCTTTATGAACTGAAAATGTTTGCAAAATTGTCACTGTTATTGAAATATTTTGAGTTTTGCTAACATTTTCATAAATTTTTATGGAAAGTGACCATTTTGCCAAAATTTTGCCAAAAAATGGTGCCTTTAGAAACTGAAACAACTTCAGAATTTCTAAATATTTTGTTACTTAAACGCACCTCCTGCAAATTCTGTAACATTGGAGTTGCTGCTTGTGACTCCCTAATTAGGTCTCAAATTTTCAGTAAGTGTAGGTGCCATTTTTTAAACAGGATACCTATTTTTTTTTTTTAATACGGTACCTCTTCAGTGAGTCATCTAATGAACTGAGCACTCTGATCAGAAAAGGACAAATGAAGTGAAAATTGTTGAGTGATCAGGGAATAAAGGGGATGGGTGAAATAACTGAGGAAGTGGAAAGGAATTGAGACAGCTGTGATGGGAGGTGCTTATTTAAATAGGAGTGGAAGTAGAGTGGGAGAGTCACAGCGAAGCCACTTGGAGCTTTTTAGATCTATGAATTTAATTTCACTTATTTCTGCTTATCCCTATAGACTTTATTCTACAGTCCTTACCTAGGCAAAACTTCAGTTCGCTGTGTTTTGCCTGATTAAGGATTCCTGGTTCTAGTTCTACTTGCTATATTGCTTGCCTAAATGACAGCATTTAGTTTTGTCGTGTGTGTGTGGGGGGCCGGGACGGGAGTGTGAGGGTGGTGGCAATGCATGTGTCTGTTGAGGTTTGAACCTTTTTTCCGACATCTCTCATTTTCTGGGGTGTATGTCTAAATTCTGTAGTAAAATGAATTTTTTTTTATTTCAAACCACATAAAAGGATTTTCTTAAATAAGAGCTCAGATTAATATATAGTTTTCAAATTGCATTTTAAAATAGCTGACAAGTCTTTCTACCTTTGTCTTGCTTCACTTGTCACAGCCTGTGTTTTGCACTTACAACAGCACCTTTCATCAAAGGAACTCAAAACTCTCTGTCGTTTATGGAACTCAATTTTATATTAAATCTCGTATTCTCCTGTGATAAGGATAAGTAGGAGTATTCCTATTTTACAGCTTTGTTGGGACACTGGAGCAATGAAGCATAGAGGAAACAAAGTAATTTGCTTGGTGTCCCATACCAAGTTATTAGTAGAACAAAAGCAGGGCCATGACTCCCATTCCCTTGCTCTTATTGTTCTAAAATCAACTCATGTACTTGCCACCAGTGAGTGGATTACTTTTTAATACAGTGAAAATTACTAGAACAAGAAGGAGTATTTACTTCTCTTCTGGACTGTTCTCTCAGTCATTAATTTCTGCAGAATGCAAGTTTTTATTTTAAAAAAATAATTAGGTTTCTATCACTTATGGTTGCAAAGATAGTATTCCTGTCTAGTATCAGGGGGTAGCCGTGTTAGTCTGTATCTACAAAAACAACAAGGAGTCTGGTGGCACCTTAAAGACTAACAGATTTATTTGGGCATAAGCTTTCGTGAGTAAAAACCTCACTTCTTCGGATGCATCCGAAGAAGTGCATAAGCTTTCGTGAGTAAAAACCTCACTTCTTCGGATGCATCCCAAGAAGTGAGGGTTTT